CTATATCTTTTGATAGCTGGGCACCATCAGCTTTTTTCACCACATTTGCTTATGCACCCATTTGTCTTCAGTGATTGTGTCGGGAAGGTGAGAATCATGGAATGCCAGTTTAATAGAACAAAGTATTCTTGCATTGAGGGAGTATTTGAGTGGAAACTCCAGCCTCTGGCAAGGCACATAAGACCCTCCCTGATGAGGCCACCCCTTACTCTCCATCCTCTTGTCTCAATGACCCCCAAGATCCTTGTTCCCGCAGTGTCAGACCCCTTGTAACTCTGGTGGCAGGCCATACCATTTCTCCTCTTGTGTCTTTGCCGGAGTCTTCCCTCTATCTGGAATATCTTTCCGTCCTCTCTTCACTTGGGTAGCTCAGTACGGACCCTAATTTCTCTATCAGGAAGTTTTCCCCCAACACCCCAAGATCCAACCAAGGGTTCCCCCCAGACTCCCCAAACCCTCTGTCTGATTCCCTTCTACACTCTGGGATGAAGGACCGTGCTCTATTCATTTCTGTATCTTTAACACCCACTTCCCTGTCTGGTAAGAGCTGCTGTTGTTAGGTCTTCCCCTCCGTTTCTGACCCTCTTCCTGACCGAGCATTCAATATGCACTTACTGAAGAAGAGGGACAGGGAAAGGAAGGAAGCAGGGCTCGGAGCGCAACAACTACCTGCTTCTGGTTGCTGCAGATGACAGCGTGCTCCTGCTGGACACTCATTCTGATCTCTAATCTGTCCATGATGAGGGAACAGTTGGGGATACCAGCTGGGGGCAGTTGAGACGGCTCTGTCTCATCTTGACTAGAGATACTTCTGGGGAGCAGGCTGGGCCTGAAGACCAGGTGAACAGCGTCTTATCGGTCAATTCTGGGAGAAGAACCGTATGGAATGGATGCAAACCACCGGAAGGAGCCCCAGGGCTTCTTAGCCGATCTTCTCCCTCCAGACAGTATTCTGGCGTCAGGGCTCAGCTCAGAGCACCCTCTTTGTGGGCCTAGCTCTGGACTTCCTGGAGTATCTGCTATGAGCCACGACTTAAGTAAGAGGCAGGCTTTTAAAAAGCAGAACTCACAGAGCACGGAGGTTTGGATGGTGTGATTTTAACAAGGAGATGGTATATTTTACAATAAGCAAAGAGAATACAATGCAGAGGAACACACAGCTTAGAGTGGCCTTCAAGTTCTAGTTGCTCATTTTTGGTCATGTTTCTTTGTAAGGTTTTTCTCTTTTTTACACAATTGTGTATTGTTTGTTTATATTGAAAAAAGACATACGGTCCAAACACACAAATAAAAAGGTGATCGTGATTGGGAGGGCAATGCACTGCCACTCATAGCCCTGCGTTTCTGTATGATATTCAGGGGACACGTGATGAGAGAAATCAGGTCTCTTCACTGGGGCAGTGAGGATGAGTAGAGAGAGTAGAATACGGGGTCCCCTGGAAGCACACAGTGAACCAACGTATCAAGCACTGTCATTGTCACTGTCATTGCGGTCCCTTTCATCCTCCCCCTTATACTCAGTGGAGACAGTGAGTGTGCCTTTCTCTGACCTTTTGCCTTAGACCCACCCCGACAATGGCAGCAAAGGGTGGCCCTGGTCACATGCTACCATTGCTTCCCTAGCGCCCGTGGTTGCTTTTCATATCTTCCCAGTCAATTTAGTTACAATTTGCCAGTAGTTCTAGGTGAACTTCAAATACGAGGCACCCTTCCACCACCCTATTCCCACTCCCTTGTCCCCTGGACCCCATGACACGCAAAGGCCATTATCAGGGTTGAAAATCACCTGTCCATAGTTCCAGGGGCATGGATGGATCCAGTTCTTGTTCCCTTGGTAAATGAAGCCATAATCATTCATGACGTACTCCTGCCTGTGAGGCTCACTGTCCAAATAGACAGCATCCGCTAGCAAGGAAAGGGGAGGTCAGAAGGGAGAAAAGTCAGCCTGCCCTTCCTGCCCCAGCGCATCCCCGGAAGGTCCCGTAGAGATCGAGCTCTGGGCCACTCCAAGTGGGAGCTTCGGAAAGACCCACCTTCCGCCACACCCCAACACCATCGACGGGCTCAAAAGGAAAAACCGTCCATTGGTGAGATTTCTTGATTTACAAAATGCATTTAGAGCCCAGCTGAAGGGTTGAGAAACAGGCTCAGAGTGGCTGACTTTCCAAAAGCACATGTCAAACACAGAGCTGCAACTGGCACACAGCCCCCGTGGCTCCGCAGCACATGCCTTTCCTGCTACGCTTACCTGATCCCAGCTGTAAAGAGAAGGAGAATTGGTGTTGACCCAGCCATTGTTTCTGAGGGGAATTTAGACGAAGGGAAGGCATTTAGGATGTGTGTAAATATTTAGATATTATGCTGTCGATCTGGGTTCTGTTTACAAAGCTGAAAAGCCGAAAACAATGTAAATACCTTGTTCCTGGGGATGGGTGGGCACCTTCTTCACAGAATTCTTTACAGTGTCAATAGGATGTGGGAAATGTGTATGCAGAAAGATATATACATAGTATATTAAGTTCAAATCGGTGACAGAATGCTATCTAAAACACGAGCAGACTCTTATTAAAAAGATATATGCGGATTCACAAAGGTTTCGGAAGCTGTAAATAGAAATTATCTGTGAGTATTTGTGTTTCCCTCCCCCTTTTTGTCCACTGCCATTCTCTAGTATTTCTATAATGAATATGTGTTGCTTTTGTGATAGAAAAAGTGTCTTCTTTAAATGAAAAACAAACAAAGGCTCTGAGAGCAGGTATCCTTTTGAGAGGGTCCCTGGGACTTCCTGGAAGCCCTGCCTGACCCTGAGGGACAGTCTCTGTGTCCCTTCTCAGAGGCAGCGTCACACAGGGGACTGGGCAGAGCAGGGCTCCTGGCAGATGGGTATTCTATTGAGGTTTTTGGATCCACGAGGCAGGAAGTTGAAGATTCGTGGTTGAAAACCCACCTTCCTCCTCACAGCTGGGCACAGCAGTGGCCTAAGCTATAGGTGGAGGCTTCCCAAACAATGCCCTGGGTATGAACATGGGGAAGCTGCCAATCCTGACTCTTCCCTCACCCTAGCCCAACTGTGTGTGTGTGTATTTGTGTGTGTGTGTGTGTGTGTGTGTGTGAGAGAGAGAGAGAGAGAGAGAGAGACAGAGAGACAGAGACAGACAGAAAAAGATATCAACTAGTTCTTCTTGGCCCAGAGTGAGCGGCTCCTTCGCCTAGTGGGTGAGAGCTTTGAGCCACTCAGTGACGAAGAAGCGGTAGAGGCTTGGAGGGTCAGTCAGGATTCTACCACCACCCAGCAGGCCACCTCGGACGCTGCTGGAGGAGAAAGTAGGGTGAGGAGGAACGGGAAGGGGGCTATTCTCCATCCAGAGGGAGGCTTTGCTAACTCTGCCTTCTGCCCATTCTCCACCCTCTCTGCCTCCCTGGCTGGCTTGTACTTCATTTCACCAAAGTCATGTATTTATACCTGTCTCTGTGTCTACACAGGCACACACCTGTTCACGGGTCAATTTAGAGGACGATCCTCATGGGACTCAGGTTTCTAAGAACACCCAAGCTGCGTAGCTGAGGGTGGGGATCACCTCCTGCCTTCTTCTTGACACTGCAGAATGGGCACAAAGGGCAGTGTGGGGTGTTTGCTGAGTCCATGGGATGAGGGAGAGGTTTGTGAGTGGCCAGGGAGCAGGGGGTTAGGAATGGTTGAGCCGACTCTCCATGGCAGCACTGACATAGACACAGAGATTCCCCTACCCTATGGACACCCTGCCTTACCTGGGCACCAGGGATTGAAGAGCAGGATGAACTCCCCGATCTGATAGGCTGTGACCGAGCCCTGGAAGGAGTCAATGTGGATCTTCAGAAGATACCGACCCACAGCCGCCACAGGAGGGGCGCAGAGGCTCACCTCCAGGGAGTTGAGCCTGTTGGTCTCCATGGAGGCAATCCACGGGCTGGGGCCGCCACGACTTGCCAGGCTGAACACTGCCCGAGTGCCCTTGGCCAGGTCCGGCAGAGGGCCTGGAAAGATGAGGAACTGAGGGCCATCTCCCAGGGCCCACTACACACACACACACACACACACACACACACACACACACACCCTGTGGGTCAGCTGGCATGCTCACCAGTCTCAGTCACAAAGATGATGTTGTCCAGGCCTGGCTGGAAGCTCCGGTTTCTGAAGTACAAGGTGATATTGAAGGGCTGCCCCCGGCGGACGATGAGGCGGCCAGTGCCGATCTCCTGCGTGTGGTGCTGCAGGTTGTTCCAGGAGCTCTGGAGGTCCGTGATGGCCATCTCCAGCCCTGAGCCCAGGCAGCCCCGAGCAGGACAAAGAGCAGGGGTGTGGAGCTGGTCCAATCTGACTCTTCCCTGACTAGCTGTGCAGACTGAAGGGGACTTTGCCTCTCTGAGCCTCAGTTCCCACATTGCTGAAATTGAACCCATAGCACCAGCTTTATCATTTCTTTTTCAAAGGAGGATTCAATGCCGCGCCAAACCTCTGGCTTCCTCCCTTCTATCCCTGTTTCTCTGACCCTCTGCCCTGACCCCCACCCCCACCCCTCACCCCCACCTGCTCTGAGGGACATGGTTCCCTGCCTCTGTCCAATGCCTCCGCAGGCCTGGCTAGGCATGTTTGCACCTTTCAGTCCAGCATGCACTTGGACATCTGCTCTTTATGACTGAAGTTGTGGTTGTGTGAGGTGCTGGTGGGTCGCTCCCGACTCCTAGCCACCCTGTGTACAACCGACGACATTCTTGCCCGGTCCTGCGCCATTCTCACCATCGTTCTGGCGTTTGAACTCAGGACTCCTTTGCCATCTCCTTTGTCCCATTCCAGCCTCCAGGCATGGCTCCAAGTCTTGGAGTTAATTGTTCCTGGGTAGCTTCTCCCTGAGGGTTTACTATTTCTGGGGTGACTGACCCTGGGTGACCCCTGTTGCTGGTTTAGCTATCTCTCGGTTATCTGTCTAGAGGTTAACCATCCCTGGGCTAGATGTTCCTGGGTCAGCTATGTCTGGGGAAGCTGCTCTTCTTTCAGCCATTTGCTGGCTCTCTGACCACCTCTTACATGATTGTTTGCCACCTCTCCCCTCATGGGCCCCTCTCTTCCAGTCAAACTTTCCCTGAGCAATCAGCACCCCGAGTGTCTGTGTGGTTTGCTGTTGTAGCTCCAGCTCCGGATACTCCAACTACCTAACCAAATCCCACCACTCTTTGAATATTCAAGACCCGCCTCCTGCTTCACTTGATCCACTGACCACTGGCCCGAAGGTGCCTCCCTTATAGGTCACCGTGCTGCTTAACTCACAAGCTGATTCCCATGGCGCACTCGCTTGTTCTTTGATAGCCCCGCACACGTTTATTGAGAGCATGCCCATTGAAGGCTGGGGGTGAGGGGCTCAGTGATTCCTCCTAGTGACCTGTTTCTCTGTCCGTCTCCAACCACTTGATGTAAAGCCAATGAAGACAGAGACCCATCCGCTTTATCTTGATAGTATTTTGATTTTTTAAAAAAAGGCATTTCACAAAACCCAGCATCTTTTTATGATAACAGCCCTCAACAAAGTGGGAAGAGAAGGAAATTGCCCCAGCCTGAGCAGGGCCATCTTAGACAAACGCGTGACTGATGTGCATATCCTTGCTATCCCACAGAGAGCCGTCTAAAGTTGATTGTGACTGAAGTACTTAGGTTAAAAATGTAAAATCCTATTATTTGTTCTCCTTTTTGATTCATTTTAAGGGCTCCGTTTTTAATATTTTCGGCTTTCTTTTTGATTGAGGTGTCTCTGTTTTGTCTAGTCGTTGTTGTTCTTGAGTTTTGCTGTTCTGCTTGCTTCGTGTTTGTGTTTTGAATGAGTACCTGTATATGAAATCCAAGACAGGTAAACTCACAGAGATAGTAACTGGCTTCACAGTCCCCTTGGGGGTATGGCGGGTATGGGGGGGGCCTGCGGGGAAACGGGGTACTAACCACAACGAGTAGGAGAAGAAAATGTTCTGAAATTGATTGTGGTGAAGATTGCACAACCTTTCTTAATATGACTGGACAATTAAATTGCATGATAGGTGGCGTATATGCCAATACAACGGATTTTTTTAAAAGGAAAAACTCATGCTTAATGGTGAAAGACTGGATGTTTTCCTTTTGAGATCGGGAACAAGACTCCCAGCACCGCTATTTGTTATCGTACTGGAAGTTCCAGCCAGTACAATTTGGCAAGAAAAAGAAATCAAAGGCATCCAGTTTGGAAAGAAACAAGTAAAACCATCTCTAGTCACAGATAACGTAATCATGTAGCTAACAAATTCTAAGGACTCTACTCCCACACAAAATGTATAAGAACGAATGAGTTCAGCAAGGTGGCAGGATATAAGATCCCAAGATCAGTATATAAAAATGGATTGTTTTTCTAAACACCGACACGAACAGTATGAAAATGGATAAGACCCCATAGACAATAGCCGCAAAAAGAATAAAGCACTTAGGAATGATTTTAACAGAATTGCAAGATGGGCGCTGCACACCACAGGACATCACTGCAGGAACTAAAAGTTAATTTTATCCCTTTAATCCTTATCAGAACCTTGAAGAGAGAAAACATCACATCGTCCACACTTGGAGATGAGAAAGACGTGTTCAAGAAAGGTAGATTGAGTGTCTTGTCTAAGGTCAAACTCAGGTTCCCTGACTCAAGACCTGTGTTCTTTCCTTAACTCAACAGCTATCACCCCTTGCAGGCCTTCCTCGTGATCACAAAGCACATCCTGACCCAGTGCTGATTGGGGACACAGTCGGCTTCTTCCTGGTGGTAGAAAAGGAAGCTCTTTTTTGGAGACTAATAGATTACAGGAACCAGGAAGCACTACACTGGTCCAACTCTGGTCAAAACACATGGCCCAGAGTCTCCAACAATCTGCCTGACAGACTTCTGATTTGACCATGGGAGCTAGGTCTCACCCGCTGGATACATCATGTGGTCAAATTCATATCTGCCTATAACATGGGAATTACTCTTTGCCTGAGTTACCAGATATCCAAATAGAAGGTATATGTTTAATATTGGGTATATTTATGTTCTTTCATGTCAGGGGATAAGAGATTTTAGGAGGAATTTTAACAGTAATGAAACACCTCCACAGGAGCAGAAAGAGGCCCGGATGAAGGTAGTTGCAGCAATATTGCTCATACTACTGAAAAATGGGAAACAACCAAAATGCCCATCAATAACTAACAACAACAACAACAAAAAATCCTTCACTGCCGTTGAGTTGATTCCAACTCCTGGTGACCTGATAGGATAGGGTAGAATGTCCCCCTTTGGGTTTCTGATATGGTACATCTCTAAAGGAGAAGGCAACCTCCTTTTTCTCTCATGGAGTGACTGATGGGTTCAAATCACTGACCTTATGGTTAACAGCTCAACTCGTAACCCACTGCATCACCAGGACTCCTGATGCCTACCAACAGGGTATTAGAAATACTAAGCAAGGTGGAAAACACTGGGGTAAATTTACAGGTACTGATTGCCTAGATATAGCTCCAAAGCATACTGTTGAATGAAAAAACACCAAGATGCACAAATATAGGTGAAATATGATGATACCATGAATAAATGTAGACAAGGGGGTACCTCCACAAAATGGAACTTTTCCTTTAAAGCTATGTATTTAATTTTTTAACAAAAAATCCCTATCACCTTCAAAGTACTCTCCATTACACTTTATACATTTGTCAAATCTGAGATTCCATTCTTGGAAACATTTTTCAAACTCATCTGTTTGGATGGCTGACAGCACCTCCCCGTTTTTTTTCTTCACCTCTTCCACATCCTCAAATCGCTGTCCTTTCATATCCCTCTTCATTTGAGGAAACAAAAAGAGGTTGCACAGAGCAAGGTCAGGTGAGTAAGTTGCGTGGGGCAAGAGAGGCATGCTGTTTTTTGCCCAAAATTGGCCCACTGAGATGTCTGCGTGAGCAGGTGTATCATCATGGTGGCAGAACCGCTCCTCTGTCTGCCACAAATCAGTCCTTTTTTTTTTTTTTGGTCACACACTATTACACTATCTTTTCAGAACCTCTAAATAGAAAGCTTGATTAACAGTCTGATCTGGTGGAAAGAATTCCAAATGCACTACGAGTCAACATTTTGGACCGTTTTGGAGGTTGATGGACATCCAGAATGAAGTTTGTCATCATTTAACATCTTTTCACCTATTTTGAAATGAGAAAACCACTTATACACTTGAATTTTTCCCAGAGTTTCTGTCCTTGTAAGCTGTATTCAACATCACAACGGTTTATGCAGCATTTTTCCTGAGCAGGAAACAAAATTTCACAGCCACATGCTGTTCTCTTAACTCGGCCATCACAAAAAATGAGGTTTGAGCAAAACTGCTTTTATGAAAAAATTCACTTTGACCAGAGAGGACCTTCCCAGGTGACACCACTGGATGCACTAACTCAGTGTGAGTTTCTTGATGTTCACCCAGCAGGAAAAATGTGTACTACGAGAGCTCCGCTCTGCCCAGCACAATTCTGTTTTAGGGGAGTACCCCTTCATATATTCCATGCAAATTAAATCCTATGTACTATTCTATGTACATATGTGATATATATATATAATATTATATACACACCCTATATATTATACATAGAATTTGTATTACTCTATATACATATGTATTCTATATATACATATAGTAAATACATAGGATTTGTATATGTGTTTATATATATTCAGTATAATACATAGGATTAGATAGTGATAGATATAATGTGTCTATATTTATATGACATTATCCATATGTACACATTGTATGTATGCACATGTATGTGTTACACACATGTACACATATGCATCCATATACATATATACCACCCAATCATATCCTATGTATTACACTGAAGACACATATCAATGTATAAACAAGATACTGGTATTAGTGGAGATGAGGCTGAAGTAAGGGATGGCAGTCACAGGATTTTAGCTTATTGATTGGTTTATTTTATGCCAAATCTGTATTCACATATTTCTTGTGTAATTAAAATCATAAAATTTTTAAAATAAAATTTTAAACAAAAAACAAAACAATGAGAGTGAGACCATAAAAAGAAGAGTAAAAGATACTCCTAGAGCAAGCTGAAAGTGGCTTGCTGTGGATGGTCTCAATGAACAATTTAACCTTCAAAATAGCTCTTTCTAAAGAAAGCGTGATGCTGTAGGGAGAAGAGGGGTCAAGGAAAGGTGAGCCCAAATGGATAACACATCCTCTGAAGAGGGTCAAGAAAGGAATGAAAGTTCAGAGTCTTTCAGAGCTGGACTACAGCTTCTAGATGGTCTTATCTAATCTCAGGCATTTTTTCAAGGACAGGGAATGGCAACTAGAGGGAAGTGACTTACTCGATGTCATAGGGCCAACCAGTG